ATTTAAGGAATAGCACTTTGGAAGAGGTAATTAGTCCAGCAGTTATAACTTTCCCTCCCCACTAATGCTCAGTTACAGTTTTATATATTTACCATATTTATATATATTTTATGTACACAAAGTCCTCCAAAGCAGCAGTTCTTAGCCAGGGGTAATTCTGTCCCCCAAGGAACTTCTGGCAATGTCTGGAAATATTTCATTGTCACAACTGGGGGGGTGGGGTTGCTACTGGCATCTAGTGGGTAGAGGTCAGGGATGCTGCTCAACATTCTATAATGCACAGGACAGCTCCCCTCTCCCCCAACAAAGAACGACTCAGCCCCAAATGTCAGCAGTGCTGAGGTTGAGAAATCCTGCTCCTAAGGCCAATGAAAGTTTCTCAAAATAGTCCCACCTGTAATTTGCAAAGTACACCTCGGGAAGGAATCACGATTGGACCAGAGCCATCTGTAAAGCAATTGTACCTGGGCGGAGGTGGAACAGGTCTTTGAACACTAAAGCAGAGCCCGTGAGCTTGATTGGGTCCATGATATGGATCCTGTCCCAGGATAACAACCTTTACCTGTGAACACCAGGTGGCAAGAATTAGCGCCTTAGTGTAGCAGGCAGTCTAAATGAATACCTGGCAGACTGATAACCTACACAAAGGGACACAACAATGATGGGGAGATCTCTTCTTCACCCACTGAGAATCCCAAGAAGGGAGTAACTGAGCATCGAAATCATTACTTCCCATTTCCAAACGATCCTTCAATCACCCTAATGCACTGCCCCACTCCCTTCTCTAACAAGTGTTTGAAACAATTTGGGGTCAATTTTGCTCTCATCCCCTTCATTTTTCAAATTACAAAAGTAAACATGCCCTTGTAACAAGTACAACCACCCAGAAACATACAAAAGGGCTAACCATCTCCTGGTCACCCCTATCCTATCCTGAGTTAACCATTTTTAGTTACCTATATATATATACATGAAATTGAGGTTACTGTACTCATTACCCCACATCTTGTATTTCTCATGTCACATTTCAGGCATCCTTCAAGTGAACAAAGCACTCAATCGCTAGTCATGGGCAGACAGCTTGTTTCCCAATGTTTTCTATTACAAAAACATTGCAGTAAACATCCTAGTACGTATATCCTTACACACTGTTGCTTTTTATTTCTATGGCACAGATTTGCACTAGCGGAGATGCCAATTAAAGGACAGGCGTATTTTGAACTTTCATAGATGTATCCAGCTACTTTTCACATTTCCCACCAGCAGCATTGCAAAGTGCCTGTTCCCCTACATCCTCTAACACTAGGGTTCCCAACCCCTGGGCTGCAGCCTGTTAGGAACTGGGCTGCTCGCATCACTGCCTGAGCGAAGCTTCATCTGTCTTTATAGCCACTCCCCATGGCTCACATCACCTGAGCTCTTCCCCACCACCGCCATCAGTGGAAAAATTGTCTTCCATGAAACCAGTCCCTGGTGCCAAAGTTTGGGGACCACTGCTCTAACAGGTGGAGCCAGAAGAGAATGAGATCAGGTCAAAAGGGCCATGGGAATAGGTGGCAAGAGACAATGAAGAGTAATGAGGCCACCTGTCACAGGAGGTGTTGAAGTATTAGCTGGTGTGTCCTTTTGATCCGGGGCTTGCCCATCGCATCTCCCTTCTCATGCTCTGCCCACGTGTTCTTAGAATCTTCCTCCACAGCTGACATGTTCTTTATCCTTCAGAACCCAGCTCCAGACATCCCGCGACCAGGAAGCTTTTGGGGACCTCTTTTCCCTCCTCTTGGTGCTCACTGTTGCCAGCATATTCTCTGCATGAAGCAACCTGTCCCTGCAGGGAACCTTTCCAGCTGGGACCTCTGGTCCTGGAGGAGGGAGCACCGTGGGTGAGCTACCTGCCCTGGCTCTGGATGCTCGTCTGCAAAGCTGCCCCGCTGGCCCGTCTGATCCTCATAGGTGTCATTCTCTTTTGACTTGTCCCTATTTGTATGATCACTGGTATTGAGGACAGGGCACTCAAATAAGGAGTGAACTGAATTTAACTAATTAAATTGAATTGAATTCCAAAACCAAGGAGTTATAGTCTAAGTTCTTGCTCTAAAATGAAATTGTGAAAATTTCCAAGTATCAGGTGCGGTTGCCTTATCAAGATGGCTTATTCACCTATTTCATGCCTGTTTAACAGGTATTTATTAAGTTCATACAGTGGTGAAGCCACAAACAAGCGTCTGAACAGGAGACTAATGTGACCAGAGCGACCAATCGGCAACTGTCATATAGGATGAACTAAAGCAAAGGGATTTGTTAACAGGATAGCAAGCCTGTTCAGGCCAGATAAAAGTCGAGAGCTTTAAAGTGCCAACTATAAGACAGTATGGTCAAGTCAGGGTGGGGTCGACTATAACTAGTTGAAAGAGACTTCACTGCTTCTTGTTTCAGTTTCCTCATCACCATAATATACCCAACACTGGTATGGGGTTGCTTTCAGGATTAAATACAGGAGAAAATGAAGGCACACAGACTGGGTCTATGTACATCTTTCTTTCATTTTTTTCTGCATAAATAGCGTATGTTAAAAAGAGTAAAGACAGGCTGAGATAAATCCTCACGATTTCAGTGTTTTCTTTGCCACTGAATTACGAACTGTAGCTTAATTCCAGTGTTCCTAATTAAAACATACTATGTGCTTCCCTCCCCGAAGAGAATTCATTAACAACTTGTACTTACATCTCTTATGTCACACATTTGGGTCCACGTGAAGACTTGGTGTGGGGGTGGATAAACAGTGTAATGTTTCCTTTCTTCTGCAACAAATCCCATTAGCTGATTTAAAGATAAACTAGACTTAAAATCACACTCTCACTGGAAACCATACGAATTCAGTAAGAAAGCTAATGCAAGTTATTTGAAGCACCATCTAAAATCCAAAAGGATTTTATATCCGAATTCTTTAAAACAAAACAAAAACTGCACCCACCCCCAGTTGCTCAATCACGTCAATTCCCTGCTTTAATTTCCCGAGGAAGCCAACCCACACACACCTTTTTTTTTTTTTTTTTTTTTAAAGGCCAAGCCAGGTTTCATTCAGGTCGGCTGGTGGTTTTCTTAAGCCAGCATTTCCTGGAAAGTAAAACGCTTAAAAGAAACCGTGGTATCATCTCACAGTCTAACAACTTTAACCAATGTTTGGATTCAAAACATCATGGCTTTGTTTTACCCCCTGAGCGTGAAAAGGACGTTGCAGGAGGGAAAGAAAACAGGAACTATGGAAGCAATGTCGCGGACTTGGGCTGCCACTGCGCTAACACGACAAAGGGCCAGCGGCCACCACGTTTACCCCCGAGCAAGGTACAAGCTTCCCCATTTACCTTTATAAAATACGGTTTCCCGAACTCTCCGCTGAGTTGCTTCTTCCAACTCTCACCGAAGCCCACGGGCACGTTGCGGGCCGCGAGCCTGAGCAGGGCCGCAGCCTTGTTCCTCTGGATGCGGACCAGCTGCTCCGGGCTCAGCGGCGAGGAGGGCGGCGTGCCGGCCTCGTCCTGCCCGGCCCGGGCCTTCTTGGCGGGGCTGGCCTGCAAGGGGTCCCCGCAGAGGCGGGTCACGAGCTGCAGCGGCCCTTTCCCAGGCGCCCGCAGCTTCCGGCCCAAACCCAACAGCCCACGGCAGAAGATGCCCATTTGCGGAGCAGGTCGGAGCCAAACCGGACAGTGGGAGCCCAAGGCTAAGCCCGGCCCGGAAATTTGCAGTTTGAGACTAAAATGGTGCGGGGAACGGGGCCGAGGGAAAGCAGGAAGGAGGACCCTGCCCGGAGGCGCCCCGCCCCCGCCGAGCGCGCCACTAGCGCGTCCCCACGCGATCTTTTCGCGGCAAAAACGCTCCCCCCAGGAGGCCGCCCTCTCCCCTCCTCTGATTGGAGGGCACGGCGAGCGGGCCAGACTGGCGGCGCGCCGATTGGCGTGGTGGACCCAGAGGCTCGTCCCCATTGGCTGGCCCCGCAGCATGGCGGCCGATGAGAGACGGCGGCGGCTATTTTGAACACGTGGAGGCTGTTTTGAACGCTGGGCCCCGGTTTACCGAGTCGGCGGCGCGCTCTTGCGCTCCTGCACCCCTTCGGTCAGATGGGGCCCACAGCTTTCCTCCCCCTCACTGGCTCCCCCGCCCCCCGGCGCCCGAAGCAGTCTCCACCGCGACTCACCGCTGCATCCCCACTCTCCTCAGCTAAGGCCGCCACGCCGGTCCCCAGGCCGGCCGGCTCGGGGCTGCGAGAACGTCGCTTCCTGGCGGGGCTCGGGGAGAAGAAGGAGTAGAGCGTCTTCTGCCCGATCATCTCGGAGCCGAGGAGGGAGCGAACACGCGCCGCCCGGGGACCAGCTAGGCTTACGCTGGCTGTGGCGATCCGCAATTGGCGCCAAGCGACCCGCGCATGCTCCGAGCGGGGGGTTTTCGCTGGGGGCAGGGGGCGGTGGAGCGCCCAGTGCGCATGTGCTGTGCGGGGGCCAAAGCGCAACGCCCCTGGGGCAAGGTGGGGCTTGCAACGGTGGCCAGGGGCTCACTCTTTCATTCGTTTGGGCCACTGGACCCAACTCTGCCTTTTGGAGAGTCCCAAGACATCTCTGCTGTAAAAAGAAAAGTACCTGCCCTTTAGGTGTGTTATGGGATCATATACATGATCTCACCCAATTTTTAAAACCTATTTTACCGAACACAAACTAAGGCTTAGAGCAGCCAAACATTTTGCCTAACCTATAAAGTTCGGGGGAGACTTTCATTGAGGTCATGGAGATTAAACTCCTGATGCATCTTCCAGATGGCACCGCCGTCTGCCACCCCTTACCCCCACCATACACCTGGGATTCTCTTTCCCTCCCTCCCCACATCCAAACCATCAATAGCCCCTTTTGGTTCTATCTCCAAAATAAATCGCGAATTCAACTGCTGCTCTTCCATCTCCTGGCTACAATCCCAGCTGGTCTTCTCTTTCCTAGGGAGGGGTTGTAACAGAATGGCCTGGAAAAAAAAAGGCAAAAACATTCTCTGTCTCTTTAACACATCCTGAACTCCTTTTTGAGAACTAAAGCCTGCATCCCTGCCTCAGGCCAGTGGTTGGGAGGGGCAGGGTAGGTCTTTTGTTATTTGTGCAACAAGAGATGGCCCAGCCCCTACCTGTTAAAAGGGTGGAGGTCAGGGGCTTGTCTTCAGCTGAGATGGGACCTTCAGAATCATCAACTATAGTTGAACCGTAATTGCCTGGAGCTGAGAACCCATCCTTTAAAAGCTCTGTATTTCTGCTTATCATGACGATGAAGGCATTTCAGATAGGAGTCTCCATCCTCCTCCTTTGCTAGCAAAGTCATTAAAAAATGTCTCTTTCTTTCCTCCTCAAACCACTTGTCCTTGTTCTTCTGACTGGGCCTCATGGACAAGTGGCTGAGCTTTCCGTAACAGGATCTTTTTACATCAGGACAATTGGGTTAAAACCCTTCTGTGGTTTCCAAATAGGCTGAGAATAAAACCCCAGCTTCTTACCCAGCCTGGAAGGCTGCTTCCTTCTCTGACCAAATCTTCCTTCCCTACTACTGAATGCAACTTCCAGTACATTTGCTGGACACGCCCAGCTTGTCCCCCTTCACACGCTTGCCCACACTGTCTGCCATCGGGTCTTGGCTCCGGATCCTTCCCTGAAAGCTCTTCTCCTACTGCCCCACTTTCTAGCTCATCGCTCTATTTATAGCTGTTATACTGTATAAAATTCTCTTGTTTATTCTTTCCTCGTTTATCCTGTCTCTGTCTCCAAAGTGTAACCTGGGCGAGGGTGGGAGCATTACCCAGATTCTCGTTGCTGGTGTGTCCAGTGCCTAGGACAAGGAGCAGAAGTGCAAAGACGGAGAGGAGCTCATAATAGAAAACCATTTGCCTTTACAGACACTTTGAAAAACAGTTCAGCAGTTTTGTATAAAGTTAAACATGCACTAACCATGTGACCCAGCAATCCCATTCCTAGGCATTTATCCAAGTGAAACGAGAACCTGTATTCACACAAAAGCTTGTACGTCAATGTTTATAGCGATTTTACCCACAATTGCACTTAAAACTGGAAACAATCCAACAGCCCCACTGGCATGTGGTACTGGCTACCGCGTGGATCCGTAGGATGGAATCCTACCCAACCGTAAAAAGGACCAAACCTCTGATACAAAAAATATGTATCTTAAAAGCAGTGTGCTTAAGTGAAAGAAGTCAGACACAAAGGCTATCTAGTGCCTAATTCTACTTATATGAAATTCTGGAAAAGGCAAGGCTATAGGTTGCCAAGGCTGGGTGAGGGGGAGAGTTAACTAATAGGCAGGAGTTTTGTGGGTGGTGGAACTGTTCTAGATCTTGATGGTGGTAGTGGTCATACAATATTGTACATTTGTCAAAATGTGCATTACTATACGCTAAGAGCCTTCAAAACAAAGCCCCCAATCTTGTAGGCGCTTCATTCCAATGGGGGGAGATAGAAAGTAAATAACACTTAGGAGCAACAATCGAAACTCACATTTATTTGGAGCACAGTAGCACTTCTCGCACGTCCTGTCATTTAATCTTCACGGCACTCTCATGACATAGGTGTTGTAGTCACCACTTTCCGGATGAGGCAATTCAAGCCCAGAGAGGTTAAGTGACCCGTGAGAGCCCACACAGCTACAGTGGAGGAGACAGAAACAGAAGCCACGGGGTCTGACTGCAGAACTCGTGTTACCACCAGCGACAATATGTGGTTCCTCAGCTCGCTGTCTGGACACCAAGATAACCCACAGTGAGAAGTGACACCAAACAATAGTTCTCAAACCACAGATGATCCTTGACAGTCGCAGAACAAATAAATGTTAAACTGGAACATGCAATGCTTGCAACGCACCGAGGGAGCCAGCAGGTGGCGCCAGAAGACCGCCGGGCTGCTTGTTTTGCAAGCGCGCCTGCACGTCCCAGCGCGCAGCGGAAGTCGACGCGGAAGCAGAGCTGTGGGTGAGTGTTTTTCCCGCCTCCCAGGGCCCTTCTAGGGTGTTTGCAGGTCTCACAGCTGCGCCGCTGCAGTCTGAGATATTGAAGAGAGCCCTCGCCACCCCCAACCGACGCACGTGCTACAATTCTTATTGCCAGAATTGAGTGTGTTTGGCCTTGTTTAACTGGTTTGCATTTAGGGGCTGAATCATATCCATTTGAGTACACTGTACCCGTTTTAATACTGGTGGGGGGCGGGCGGGGCGGCCAGTTATCCCTCCCCATTAACGGGGTGGGCAGGAGATAGCCTGCTTTTCTGGGTGACTTTCCTGGGCTTCTTGGGCAAGCCCATTCCCCTCTCTGGGCGTCAGTTTCCCCATTTGTAAAATGAGGGCTTGGTTTGTAGTTTCCAAATTTGGTTGTGGCATGTGAATTCCCAGGGGAGAGTTCTTTCAAAATTCAGAAATTTGGGCGTGGAGCGCAGGCATCTGGGTTTTTGCAAGCTAGCCACCTGATTCTGATACACAGCCAGGTGTGGGCGACCCTGGACCACATTGTCCCCAGGGCTCCCTCCAGCTTTACTGTCCTCTGCTTCCTTCCTAGGACGTGGATTTAATTTTTAAAATGGCAACTTAGGAATGTTGCTGTGGAACCACTTTGATGAACAGATTTTTGCACTGGGGACAAAACCTGGGAGATCTCCTTGCCTTGCCAGTGACGTCCATTTCTTTCCTGTGGGGAGACAGGATGGACAGATTCCTGGTGAAGGGGGCTCAAAGGGGCCTCTTGGGAAAGGGGGAGGAGCAAGAGCAGACCGGAGAGGTGCCAGCCCTGTTGGGAGGAGATGACGAAAGCGCGAGGAAGAGGCCCAGGAGAGAGACCCCAGGGAGTGGAGTCCACCTGGAAGGCCCCAGCTGGCGGCACATTCGGGCGGAGGGCCTGGACTGCAGTTACACCATCCTGTTCGGCAAAGCCGAGGCGGACGAGATTCTTCGAGAGTTGGAGAAAGAAGTGGAATATTTTACAGGTAAGCAGAGCACTCTGTGTGTGTGTGTGTGTTGGAAGGCTTGTTTGATAAAACTAATGATCTCCCCATAATATGCTGAAATAAAAGAAAAAGAAAAAATAAAAACTAATGATCTTATGTTTGGAGAAATCTGAACTCAGGAGCCATTGTTTACTGATGGGTTCGCTAATGGATTCAACAAACGTTCTCGGGGCACCTCTAGGCCAAGCACCCTCTCAGGTGCTTGGGATACAAACTTGAAAAATACAGGCTTGCTTGTCTACTGGAACCAGGCACCACCTGGGAAAGTTAAAAACAAAAAACATGCTGGGGCCGGACGCGGTGGCTCACGCCTGTAATCCTAGCACTCTGGGAGGCCAAGGCGGGTGGATCGTTCAAGGTCAGGAGTTCAAGACCAGCCTGAGCAAGAGTGAGACCCTGTCTCTACTAAAAATAGAAAGAAATTAATCAGACAACTAAAAATGTATAGAAAAAATTAGCTGGGCGTGGTGGCGCATACCTGTAGTCCCAGCTACTCGGGAGGCTGAGGCAGAAGGATCGCTTGAGCCGAGGAGTTTGAGGTTGCTGTGAGCTAGGCTGACGCCACGGCACTCACTCTAGCTCGGGCAAAAGAGTGAGACTGTCTAAAAAAAAAAACATGCTGGGTTCTACCAATTGAATCAGAATAGCTAGGAGTTGGGCATCAGTGTTTTTAAAAAGCTTCCAGGTGATTCTAATGTGCATCCAGCATTGAGAATCACTAGGGGAGATGGTTATTTCTCTACCAGGTAATTTCTCTACACCTGTGGTTCTCAACGTCCTCTTCAGGACTTGTCGCTTGTCAGAACTGATTGCTGGGCCCCACCCCTGCAGTTTTATTTCTAAGGAGTTTCCAGGTGATGCGGATGCTGCTGATTGGGGGACCGCACTTTGAGAACTGCTGCTCTACCCTGTGATGAGTACACAGGCATCTGGTCAAGCACTTCGGAAGGTGTAGAAAAACCCACAGGAGACCCCCATCCTGCAGCCTGAGCTGTGTGAGCCCCACCCTTTGTGGAGCCGCAGGCCCTTAGTCCTCACAGTTGGCAAAACCACCCTAGTGTGTAAACTAACTTCATCGTCCTCTTCATCTGCTCTTATTGTAGTTAAGGCAATTAAGTTACAATATTTAATTAAAAAATAGCCTAGGACTGTGTTTCTCTAAGTGTAGCACAAGAGTCACTGTTCTTGAAAATTTGGGGCAGTCAACATTTTTATGAAATCTGAAGAAAAAAAAACTGGGGGCAAGCCACAATGATTTTTGTGGAGGGGGTCCTCGGCAGGGCATCAAATCACATTGAATGACACAAGGAAACGCTACTCCTGTGTTGCTTCCCTGTCAATCCTGAATACCCAGGGCGTGTGTGCGTTGGGCACTCACCTGCCTGGGTCTCTGGGGACTCGAGGGATGGAACTGCCTTGTTTCATCTGCACAGGTGCGCTGGCCAGGGTCCAGGTGTTCGGGAAGTGGCACGACGTGCCAAGGAAGCAGGCGACGTATGGCGACGCCGGGCTGACCTACACGTTTTCAGGCCTTACGCTGTCTCCAAAGCCGTGGATCCCAGTTCTAGAGCGTGTCCGGGATCGTGTCTCTGGGGTGACTGGACAGACTTTCAACTTCGTGCTTGTCAACAGGTGACACCCTACCTGCTTAGTGGACTGAATTTTATAAAACTTCTGTCTCCTCCAAAAAGAAGGGTTTAGAATCCCACCCTATTTTGTTCCTTTGCACAACAAATCATTCTTTGGTGCGCAAGGGGTGTAATCGTGGCACAGCGCCGGCAAAGCCAGTCTTCTTGGAGCTCGTGCTGCAGCAGGAAGTGAGAGGTGATTAAGTCCTGAACAAACAGCCGAGCAAGATAATTTCAGACGGTGATAGCTGCCCCAGAGAAAATTAAACAGGCTGATTTGACTGAGGATGGTTGAGAGGAAGGGGTTTGGGGCGGGGTTTCTCAGTGGCAGCATTACTAACGTTTTGGGCCGGATCTTTCTTTGTTGTGGGGGCTGCCTTTTGCATTCTAGAATGCTGAGCACATCCCTGGCCTCTACCCACTAGATGCCAGGAGTACCTCCACCCCTAGCGTCTGTCCCCTGGGGGCAGAATCGCCCTGGTTGAGAACCCTGGGCATAGGGTGGTTAGAGGAGGATCTCTGAGGCAGTGACATTTGAGCATAATAACAAAAGGGAGGGCGTGAGCCACAGACATCTGGAGGAAGGGCAGAGGGAGCCTGGAGTGTTTGTGGAGCAGAAATCCCGCAGCTGTGGCCAGAAAGCAGTCAAGAGGGCCAAAGGGTATGAGATGAGCTCAGGTGGGCAGGGCCAGGATGCACAAGGACTGTGGACTTTATTCTCCGTGTAGGGAGAAATCATTTTATGTGATAATGGTTTACATATACAAACCAGGGAAAGTCATGATTTTGGCTTTTGGTGTTAGTTTTAAACTAACTTGAAGATATGAACAAACAGGACTAGGTAATAGTGAAGATGCTTTCAGGGTTGACTCATCTATAGAAGCAGCTAAGGACCCCGAGCCCTTGCAGATACACAGCAGGGACAGCCGTGTCACACTGTAAGAAAACAAGGAGTCTGCAGCATTGGTGAGTTTCGGGACAGGGTCGTTTTTATGAGCTGTGCTTGTTCTCTCACGGCAGGTACAAGGATGGCTGTGACCACATTGGGGAGCACCGCGATGACGAAAGGGAACTGACCCCTGGGAGCCCCATTGCCTCTGTCTCCTTTGGTGCCTGCAGAGACTTCTTCTTCCGGCATAAGGATTCTCGAGGGAGAAAGCCCTCCCGCAGGGTGGAGGTGGTCAGGCTGCAGCTGGCCCACGGAAGTTTACTGATGATGAACCACCCGACCAACACGCACTGGTATCACAGTCTTCCCGTCCGAAAGAGGATTCTGGCTCCGCGGGTCAATTTGACGTTTCGTAAAATTCTGCCTACTAAGAAATAAAAACGTTTTTAATGGTTAGTACTTCAGTTTTGTCTTTCCCTTTCTGTGAGGGAGCTGGCATTTCCTTTAGCAGCAGGGAACATAGAAAAGGTTTAACCAAAGCGTAGGGCTTGTTACATAACAATGCAGAATTCAGAAGGAGGATGTTTGTATCAAATCAGTAAATTATGCAAGAATACCAGTTGACTTTTTCCCTAACAAAATGATTCTTTTATTGCTATAATACACAGCAGATACAAAAGTACCTTTAGCAAATACATAAATCAGCAGTTATTATGGCATAAACTACTAGTCTAACTTAGGTTTTCTCAAAAAGAAGCTTACTTTGTAAATAATTTAATACTAGAAATCAGATTATTTGGCTGCTACTTAATGCCTAATAATTTACAAAATGAGGAAGTCAGCTTTAAGAAGTCAGGTTAAGAGACTTTGCACAGATATTTTTCACATTTACCATCTTGGCTCAAACCCTGGCCTCTGACCAAAGAAAGATCTGCTTACACCACACGTTCAAAGGCCTATGCCCTTTCATGTGTCTCTGTAATGGCAGATTTCAAAGAGCAGGCAGTGGCAGAACAGCTACAACTTCGCAGTGCACTTTAAGGTCGTGCAATTGGGCATTTTCCACCAGACTTGGGTAAAACAGGTGTGTTTATTTCAGCATCAAAGCCAAGGTCTGAGCGGGTCAGCGATGACTGGATCAGACGGTTCAAGCTGCTCCTTTCCCACTGATGCCCGTGGCCTGGAGAACCTTCACAGTATATTCTATTGGGAGCGAGAGTTACTGAGTCCTCAGGATGCGCCCTGGGCCCTGTGCAATGGCGGTCACCTGGGCTTCTTGCACTTTGAGCTGACGCCAAGGCATTGTCAGGAAGCGTCCACCAGCTCACCCCCAGCACAGGAAGCGCAATTCTTACCCTTACCTCAGGTGACCTTTTGGAAAGATCTGATTCCAAATCTTACTGAGTTTGAATTTGCTATCCTTTTTTTTTAGAATTAAAAATCTAGCTAAAACGTAGGTGACTACTGTGACATCAGAATTCCTTTGGCCCTGGGTTACGTTCACGAGGGAAGAAGATGCTCAATGTACTCTCTCTTAGGCTACTGGAAATGATGAATAAATTTAGAATATGGACCGATAACAAAATGACAATAGCAGATGTCAGCTGTAGCTATGAGTTTTAAAGTCAGAAGCTGCTTTCTTTTTGTGCAAAGGGCTGGATTTTGGAGGTCATCGAGTCTAACCTTTCCCTTTACAAATGAGGAAATTGAGGTCCAGAAGATGTCAGTGCCCTTCCTTCCTAAACCAGCTTCCCACTCAAGGCAGGGATTGTCTTTTTGCACAGCCCAAAGCTCCTACTCGCAAAGCTTAAGAGCTCTGCACGGGCAATAAATAGGTGATAATAACTGTCCACAGTGGATCCTTGTATAACAGTTTTCTACAGAGCGGAGGAATCAGAGGTCTGGCATGGATACTGCTCAATTCTGGCTATTCATAGAGTTTTATAATAGTCTATCATTACATCTTTTAGCCCAGTATACAAAAGATAATAGCAACAAGTAAGCATTTACTTACAACTGACAAAGTAGTGAAAGAATTTCCCCAGGGGAAAGATTTGGCAGATGAGCCTTTACGACATAGAAAGAATCCAAAGATTAGAAAAGGCATACAAAAAAGGGGACAGAGGTGTTCTTTAGGCGTCTTTTACCTGTCCCTTTGCTACCCTTTGAGTAACTTGGGAGGACCGTTTCAGAGTGCATGTGCTACCAAAGCAATCAAAAGTGAAAGGCACTTTTTCTTCTAAATTGTTGCCTTTAGTAATTTCACTAATTCTTGTCAACAGTTTTTATGGGCCTGCTTATTAAAAATAAAAGATCTATGCTGAAACGTCAGAGGATTAGACAAAGGTAACTCCCCTCGGAGAACACCTGACATATCACAATGTGGAAAAGGTGGCTTCCGGAATCTGCTTTCTTGTAATTACCTGGATCAGATGAATAAAAAGGCGCTCTAGACATAATGATGCTTTCCCACCACGACGCCCTCCCAGTGCGCGCCAGCAGAGCTATTCGGGGAGCCTGACTTGGTATGCGTGGGGGCCACTGGCTCCGGGTGGAGCTTGCTCTTACAACACACTGGAAAGCTGAAGGGCTCTACTGGGGCTGCTTGCGCACACACAGCACAGTTCTGCTTTTGTCCTGGGCAGTTTTGACAGTGCCACCAGCTCTAGCTTAGGGGCTGGGGCACGGTCATTCTTCAGACTTGTACTCCTGACTCTGGTGATGCATCCTGGAGAGCACGCGCTCATAGAACAGCAGGTACGCGCTGGAGGACAGGACCTCCTGCAAGCTGGCCTTGCGGACAGCGTCGTCGGAGACCCACAGCCACTGGTTGCTGGTTGAGAGAGGGTTCTTGGCTGAAGGCGGGGACCGTCGGTAAGTGACAAAGTGTCCGGAGTGCATGTCTCCGTGGTGGACGACAACTGCCATCAGCCGGAAGAGGTATGTGGATGAGCTGAATGATAGAACAAATGCCAGTGGTTTACAAATACAACAGAGAAGGCTTTACAGGCAGAAACAGAATCCTAGATGTTAAATGACAAGGGATTGATACAATGGTACATCCACACAATACCATACAACGTCATAATACAATTCTACATTTACTGGCATGGCAAGATGTCCGTTCTATATATTGTACATAAACAGATGTTTGTATCACAAGTATGTATGTACATGTATATTGTATGTATGTGTGTACGCACACTTTATAGAGTGGGTGACTCGAAATATTTAATTGGTTTTCTCTGGGTGGTAACCCAAGAAATTGAAAATTTTCTTCTCTATCCTTTATATATATATACTTACACACACATGTATGTATATGTAAATTATATGTGCTTTTATAATTTTTATTTTTAAAGTGAGTTCCATTTTGGACCAAAATAAATGAGAATGTGCAATAGTGAAATTCTACTTTAAAATTAAAGAAAAAATGAATCTCTAAATTTTCATTCATTCATCTCTGTGAAAAGCTAATTTTAGAAACAAAGAGAAGCCGCAGCCGAATGAAGAACATGCTTCACCTGTAGTCAGGAACGACTGGGAGCGGGAAGGGCACCGGAGCTGGCAGGGACGGCAATAATGATGGGGAGCAGGCGCCATTCATAAAAATTTGTGTTTTGGGGGCCCCTGGCTGATTCAGAACTGCAGGAGAAAAAGGTCAGAGTTACTGAAAATTAGCGGTGGCTCTGGGTAAACGAAACATGGCTTTGATCACCTTGGAAAGTAACTGCCTGTAAGGTGACACAGCAAAAAAATACTTCATTTTGTATTATATTGATTCAGAATCTTTCCTACCTTTTTGTCCCAACTGTCCTAATCTCAAATAGGAAAAGCATATCTCGCTCCAGGTCTACCGCTAGCCTTGACAACTTTGTGAATCTTTGAGATTCCCATCCCTGTTTGCTAACAATACGTATCAAAGTTAAGCACTGATTTCCTGGCTTTTGACCTAAACCAAGGGTTCTTAACCTTGGCATTATTTTGGGTTGGATCATTTTCTTCGTTGTAGGGGGATGTGCTATGCATTGTAGGGTGTTTAGCGGCATCCCTGGCCTCTACCCACGAGATGCCAGCAGCACCAAAAGTGTCAACAGACATTGTCCAATGTCCTCTGGGAGGCAAAACTGCTCTGTGTTGAGAACCACTGATCTAAACATTCTCTTCTTCTTTAATTCTGTCAGCTTCTAAGAATACCAACACGTAACAGAATTAATAAATGTTTATGAGTGTAGAGAAAATAATTAAGGTGATATTTACATGTCTTTTCCTCTCAAATGTCCTATTTGGGGACCTTTATGTAGCAAGTAGCTCACTGTTGGCATCTTTAACCACAGCCAGCATGGTCTGAACTACAGTGGACCTGCACCCCAGTCCAGGAGAGGAGGAAGCTAGGGTGAAGAGGTCTTTGTTTATTGTTGTTTTTTTTAATGAGATGGGGTCTTGCTATGTTGTCCGGGCTGGTCTTGAACTCCTGGGCTCAAGTGATCTTCCTGCTTCAGCCTCCCAAGTAGCTGGGAGAGGTCCTCGTTTTAAAATAAGGGTCAAGGACCGAGCCGGCTCCCTACCTCTGCTCTTCCCCATGTTAACCTGATGACCTGGCGAGAAAGAGCCAAACGCCGTCTCCCTGAAATGACGTCTTGCCAGGCCATGTGATTGTGGTCACAGCAAGAACGAAAGGGGTAAGGGACACTAGGTCAGGAATGTATGGGGGTGCAGGAAGACAATCTTCACTTAATTGGGGGTAGCAAGTAGGTGGTAAGCCCTTAAAGCGAGTGGGTTTTCCTCAACTATAACTCTGGAACTCAACGTGTCACTTAAGATACCTTTAATTTTTTTTTTTTTTTTTTTGAGACAGAGTCTCACTCTGTTGCCTGGGCTAGAGTGCCGTGGCGTCAGCCTAGCTCACAGCAACCTCAAACTCCTGGGCTCAAGCGATCCTCAGCCTCCCGGGTAGCTGGGACTACAGGCATATGCCACCACACCCGGCTAATTTTTTCTATACATATTTTTAGCTGTCTAGCTAATTTCTAATTTTCTTTCTTTTTTTTTTAGTAAAGATGTGGTCTTACTCTTGCTCAGGCTGGTCTCGAACTCCTGAACTCAAATGATCTGCCTGCCTCAGCCTCCCAGAGTGCTAGGATTACAGGTGTGAGCCGCTGCACCTGGCCTTAAGATACCTTTAAAAACCTGCCCCAACACTACATCTCCCATTTGCTGTCTGCCTTTGACCAATCATTTAACTGTGTGGAGCCTTAATTTTCTCATAAGACTGGGGGTAAGGACAGCTGCCTGTCTTAACTGGGAGCCAATTCAATGATTAGCCTCAGATGAGGACAGTAATGAAATTAGATAAATAGTTCAGTAAAGAAGTCATAGCAACCTAAATAAGATGCTCAGTGATCTTCCACCAGGACATGTCCTTCCCTCATTTCCTGTATAAATGAGATGACTGTATCGGGATTAAAAAAAAAAAAAGACAAAAAATTCACCAGAATGATAATAAACCAATTATCACTAGTCAAAGATCAGACAGCAAGACTGCACTCATAGGCTTTTCTCCTTATACTTTTTCATCTGTCATAAAGTTTTAAAAACTCTACATCTCATTACTATGTAATTTTAACCTCCTTTTAAGAAATCTTCCCTCTTCCACCCCCAGTCCTGCTGTTCTCAAGAATTTAAGCAACCATTGTACCAGCCTTGCACTCATGTCATAAGGGACCCAGAAGGTGGTTGATGCCAAATTGCTTTTCTCTGTGCGGAACGTTCCTGATGCGTCGGCACACACCTGGTTTGGGGGCTGCTGGCCCATCCGGCAGTTCCAACGCAGGCCCTGGGTTCTCGTTCGGCTTAGGGTTGTGCTGACTGGGTTTATGTCCCAGGAGGTGGTACTTGTAGATGTCCATCATCAGGAATTCATTGAACTGCACGTGCTCGTGCCGCTTCAGGGGCGTGCCGTGGCTGGACCAGCTCAGCCGCTGCAGGTGGATGCAGAGACACTGAGGGAGCTGCGGGTGGGAGAGAACCCGGAAAGATCGCGTCATTTCAGGAGCAGGACATGTGTGGTCCTCGAATGCAAAGCCAACGAGGTGTGTAGCGTGGGCTCACCTTCCCTAGTTTTAACTGTTTAACAAAAGTGGTCCTCTGGTGTTCCACCTTTTCCCCACTCAAGGTTCCCTTTGCTTCAATCTGAAATAAAAGAAACAACATTTCTCTGCAGAAACTCCTGACATGGGTCATGTGTGGAGAGCTGCAGATCAGGTTGGTGTTACAGCTGCATTTAGCTGGCACTTAACTGCTGCCTGCTGGAATGAACTCAGCTGCTGGGTTATTTGTGGGTTCTCTTCCCTGATCCCTCTCGGTCATTAAATAGCAGTAACAGTAGAGGGAAGAGAAAATGAGGAATCAACACTGAAACTCTGACACTGGCATGTAATCTGTATTGTTCTCTGTCTTCGAAAATTCTGTTACACACAGTTCCTCTTGATTCAGAGGGTGAAATTCGATTACTTAGGGGTTCGGGCAGGTAGCATAGGTAAAAAGAGATGAGACAAATGAGACGGGAGGGGACTACAGCCAATTGGAGAGGGCAGGTCCCATCTCAAAGCATGACATTCAAATTTTTCTTAAACATTCTGTAGAGGAAACAAAACTCAACTGGGAAAGAGATTTGGTCCACGGGCTGCCAATTTCCAAATGAAGTTTGGTGGAAATGGTGGTGGCTGAAAAGATCCACCGGCTACAGTCAGAAGAGCTCAGGGCCAGTGGTGTGAGAGGCGCTTTGCAGGCACACAGAGGCCAGCTGGGAGATGACATTTGGGGTTCCGTGCGTACCTTTGTACAGTTGTCACATACGACATCCCGCACCGATTCTGACGAGATGAAGTGGTGAAGGCAGTGGTCCAGGGTCAGTGGGTGACCCTACAGCACGAGAAGAAGAAACCGTTACAATTCAAAGAAGAGCCACACTCAAACTACGGACAGACGGCAGCGGAATCCCTGAGCTTTGTTCTGGTGTAGGTGGGCAATGAAGTTTCACAGACACAACTGGATGCTTCCTGAACAAATGGGCTCAAAGCACCCCAGACTGCTATCACTGACATTCAAAAGTATGAGGACATAACATTGCAGAAAATGATGGACTTCCATGCTGTTTTAGATATCTTTGAATTTGAGGGGTATGCGCGCGTGTGTGTGTTTGTGTGTGTGTGTGTGTGTTCAAAAAGCCAAAATCTCTGCAGCAAGAGGAAAACCATCCACCTTCCCCTTCCGCATAATCAGGCCACGGTAGCATACATCAAGGTTAGGACAGGGTTCAGCTAACCATGTGTCTGAATAACACATAGTACCTCAGCCATATAGAATGCCTCAAAGCCCTTTCAGGTTGAAATATCTCCAAAACAGACCAAAAATAAACCACAGATCGGTACGTACCCATGTGGCAGCTGGAATACTTAGTGAAAGGCTATCAAAAGTATCAAATCGAACAGGACTCTAAAAAAAAAATTACAGAAAATCCAGAAAGGACTCAGGTTAGATTCAAAACTTTAAAGATGGGAAGATATATGACTATGAGATAGTTTCCTATTTAGTTTAGTTTAGTTTAGTTTCCTATTTAGATGTCCAACATTAACATAATAAAACGTAATGTTCTTAGAGGCAAGTTCTATTAAAAACAACCTTGTAAACACAAGAGGTACAATAATACTAAAAGATAGCTTGGAAAAACTGTAAGATTACATACCTGACCCAGAAATTTTGGGATTTTATCCTAAGAGAACAACCATGGACATAACTATAAAAATATTCATCAACATTATTTATAACAGCAAAAATCTGAATACAGTCATACGTATCTTAACAACGGGAATAGGTTCTGAGAAATGTGTCTTAGGTGATACTGTCGTCCTGCGAATGGCACGGAGGTTATACAAACCTCGATGGTATAGTCTATTGCTCCTAGGCTACGAACATGTACACACAGCATGTTACTATACTGAATACTGCAGGCAACTGTAATACAATGGTTAGTATTTGTGTATGTAAACATAACTAAATATAGAAAGGTACAGTACGAACATGGGATTATAATTTATGGGACCACCACCGTATATGCAATCCATTGTCGAATGAATGTTGTTATGTGGCACATGACTGTAGTTGAAACTTCTAGGGAATGATTAAATAAATTATAGCATGTCCACAAAATACTATATTAAAAATAATGTAGAAGAATGTATGGTTATATTGAAAGATGTTCATGTTATACAATTAATTGCAAAAAAGCAGATGATAGAGTAAGAGTTCCTGCTTTTGGTGATGGCAGACTAGCTTGGCTAGATAAACCCTCCTTGAGATAACGATTGTAAAATCTGGACCGAAACAAAACAAAACAAAACTTTTTGAATGACTGGAAAGCTACCAAAAGCAGGCAGAAATTAAAAAGAAGTTGACTCTTGGAATTCCATGGGTGAGATTTGAATGTTTGTGCTTTTTTGCCCAGTCTTGGCAGTGCTGAGTGGCAAAAAGCAGCAGTGTCAGAAGACAAAGTTCAGGACTGGTAGACACTAGGGGATATCACAGAAAGAAGGGAGCCACGGAGAGAACTAGCCTCAAAATTCACATATGAACTCTGGCCAATTCCAAGATTAACCACTGAACCACACATGTACCAGGAAGACTCCAGGGGGCCTGGCAAAAAGTAGCATCTGGAAGCTAAAAAAACTGAGCAGAGATTTTCAGTTTGGAGTTTGAGCATGTGCTTGTCACCAATAACAAAGTTTTAAAAAATTCAGCAAAAATAGAACTAAAGAAAGAAACAAATTATTGCAAACATTTAAGAAAGAAATAATATCAATATTAAACAAAATCTTTCAGGAAACAGAGGAGGGAACACTCCCCAGCTTATTTTATGAGGCTAACATAATCGTTATAACAAAACCTGACAAAAACATGACAGGAGAAAAAAACTATAATACCAATATTTTTCATAAATGCAGGCACTAATATCCTTTAGGAAATATTAGCAAATCAAATCCAGTAATATATAAAGAGAATAATACATCACAATCAAGTGGGGTTTATCCCAGAAAAGCAAGGCTAGTTTAACTTCAGAAAAATCAATCACTGTAATTTACCATGTTAACAGAATAAAAGAAATATGATCATCCCAATAGACGCAGAAAAAGCATGACAAAGTTCAATCACTATTCATTATAAAAACTCTCATCAAACTGGGAGCAGAAGGGAACTTTCTCAGTATGATAAAGGAGTATACTAAAACCCAGAGCTAATATAATAATTATGAAACACCAACTACTTGTTTCAGAAGATCTGAACAAGGCAAGGATGTCTGCTATCACCACTCTTATTCAACTTTGTACCAGAGCTCTTAGGATAATAAGGCAAAGAAAAAAATAAGCATAAAGATTGGAAAGAAAGAACTAAAACTATTTCCATTCACAGGCAACATGATTGTTTACATACATAAAGAATTATAAGGAATCTACAACAAAACTAGAATAAATGAATTTTTGCAAGATCTCAAGATACAAGGTCAATATATAAACAACTGTATTTCTATATACTAGTGGCAAATAATTGGAAAATAAAAATTTTTTAATTCCATTTACAATAGCATCAGAACATAAATAAAATGCAAGGAAAAAATAAAAGAGATGAATAGTCAACTTACAGATTAAAAATATATGAGACATATCAAGAAATTATACTGTATGAAGTTTATTTTAAAAAAACAGTCATCACATTAGTCATCAGGGTAAATGCCAATCAAAATCACAATGACACAGCAAAGGAAATAATCAACAAAATGAAAAGCCACCCATGGAACATGAAAAAATATTTACAAAACATATACCTGATAAAGGGTTAATACCCAAAATGTATAAGGAACTCATATAAGTCAACAGCAAAAAACCAAGTAACACAATTAAAAAAATGTGCAAAGGACCACAAGAGACATTTATCCAAAAAAGGCATGCAAATGGCCGACAGGTGTATGAAAAGGTACTCAACCTCACTACTCATCAGGGCAATGCAAATCAAAACGACAATGAGCTACTACCTTGCATCTGTTGGATGACTATTATCAAAAAGACCAGGTAACAAGTGTTGGCAAGGGTGTGGAGAAAAGGCAACTCTTCTACACTGTTGGTGGGATGTAAACTGGTGCAGCCATTATGGAAAACAGTACAGACGTTCCTCGAAAAGTTAAAAACAGAACTAACACATGATCTAGCAATTCCACTTCTGGGTCTATGTGCAGAGGAATTGAAATCAGGACCTCAAAGAGGCATCTGCACCATAATGTTCATTGCAGCATTATTCACAGTTGCCGAGATATGGAAGCTAAATGTCCACAGACAGATGAATGGATAAAGAAATGTAGTATATACACACAATGAAATATTATTCAGCTCTAAAAAAAAAAAGAAATCCTTCCATTTGTGACAACATGGATGAACCTAGAGGACATCAAATGCTAAGTGAAATAAGCCAGGCAGAGAAAAACAAATACCATATGATCTCATTCCAGAAAAGTCAAACTCACAAAAGCAGAGAGTAGAATGGTGGTGGCCGGGGGATAGGGGGTGGGGAATGGTGAGATGTTGGTCAAAGGTGCAAATCTTTAGTTACAAGATGAGTAAGTTCTGGGGATTTAATGCACAGCATGGTGACTATAATTAATAATACTGTATTGGATACTTGAAATATGAATGAAGATCTACTAAAAGAGTAGATCTTAAGTGTTCTCATCACATACACAAAAAAGGTGATGGATGTGTTCATTAGCTTGAGCTTGATTGTGGTAATCATTTTACAACGGATATATTCAACATCTCCCCATCCCTACCCCGCCAGCCCCTGGCAACCACCATGTATATCAAATCATCAACTTTGTACAGCTTAAATATATTCAATTTTTATTTGTCAATTATACCTCAATAAAGCTGGGGAGAAAAAAACCACAGTGAGCTAGCACTTCGCACCCACTAGGATGGCTAGAATCAAAAAGTCAGATATTGTAAGTGTTGGGGAGGCTGTGGAGAAATTGGAACCCCTCATATAGTGCTGGTGGGAATGTAAAATGGTATGGCCACTTTGGTAAACAGTCTGGCACTTCCTCAAAAGGTTAAACATAGAGTTGCCATAAAGAGCTAGCAATTCTACTCCTAGATATATACTCAACTGAAATGAAAACATATGTCCACATAAAAACTTGTACATAAATATTCACAGCAACATTATTCTTAACAGCCAAGAAGTGGAAACAATCCAAATGCCCATCAACTGATGAGTGGATAAACAAAATGTGGTATATCCATGCAATGCTATATTATTTGGTAATAAACAGGAATGAAGTACTGATATACGCTACAACATGGAAGAACCTTGAAAATATCATGCTAAGTGAAAGAAGCCAGACACAAAAGGCCACATATGGTATGATCCCATTTCTATGAAGTGTCCAGAACAGGCAAAGCCATAGTGACAAACGGTAGCTTAGTGGTTGCCAAGTGATGGGGGGATGGAGAGGAAAGGGAGAGATTGCTAACACGTATGGGTTTGGGGGCAGGAGGAGGTAATGAAAATGTTCTAAAATTGAGGTGAAAGTTGTACAATTCTCTATTTTTGTATAATGTTGGAAATTTTCCGTAATAAAAAATTATTTTAAAACTGCAAAAGCAAAAGAAAAAAAAAAAAAACAACCCGGTCCTAGAATCTGTTGTGTCTATTGTGAGCATAGACCCAGCCTTGGGACTTGACATCCTGCCGGTCCATAATAGGTCTGCTGGGCTGGGTGCAGACGATGACATCTGAGGATCAAATGACATGTCAGCACTGACCAAAGGGAGGCGGTCAGTCCACTAAGTGTGCAGAGCCCAGGCAATCACAAATGCCATTGACCGATGTCAGCCCACACTCCCTGGGTCCTCTCATGAACCCTACCCTAAAAGAAAACCTAGCCGGGAAGTATCAAGTATTGGTATTGTATTTACCTGGTGTTCACAGTGTTTGCAGACCATATTACTAGTGAGTCTTCCATGGAAAGGATGTTGAGACTTCCAGTGATTGGACGTGGGGTGAGGTGACCCTGGAATGCAAAACATCTTTTGATATGTCACTTGTAGCCCTTTGGCACCAACCTCAAAATTCACCTTCTTTTTTAGTGTATGGTAGAAACTCCCTTTCGGGAAAACATGTGCTTGAAAACCACACTGAAATAGTTTCCCTCATTGACCTCCATCCAAAAGACATCCCATTTCTTCAAGGAGAATTTATATAGATCTTTATATGGGGTTTCTGTGTAATGGGTACAACCACATTTTTAAAAGGAATTTGTGATTAGTAACATCTTTTTACAAATATATGCTTAAAATGTTTGAGATATCAACAGAAAGATGGCAAAAGTGAACATTCCATAAAGCGAGATAAACTGAAATAATAATAAGCAAGTTCTGAAGAACTGGGATTTTCTTTGGCTAGGGGGAGGGTTAGTGGAACAAACACTAGTGAGAAATACAGGCTCTGGAGTCAGCAGCCCTGGGCTCGGCCTGGGCTCTGCTTCTCGTTAGCTCCGTAGCCTGGGAAGTCATTTCATCTCCGTAAGCCTCAGTTTGCTGGCAATGCAGATAATTATTATCCCATTATCCCTAGTATCATCCGCTTCATAGAGTTACGAGGCTTAAATGAGATATTGCAATGGCTGGTACACAGTATGGGCTCGAAAATATTTGTTCCTATTACTACTAATGCACAAAGGAAGCGATGTGATAATTTTCTTTTTTTATTTAAGAAAACAATGATTTCCTCTTAAGGAGGACTGTGATAATTTGGGGCAAAAGTTGGCCAAAGTGGAAATGCTGAGGACACAACAGATTCAGTTTATTAAGTTCTTCCCAGGATCAATTCAAGAAGGTAAAAAGAAAGCCCTGTTTGAAGCACAAATAAGTCCCTTCAGAAGAAACTGAGCAGGGCTGGGATGAGAGGGAACACCAAGAAAATCATTTGAAGCTGTTTCCAAACACAAGTTCCTTTGCAAATATATCACGGTTCAAGCTGGCTTAGATAGCACCAGAAAAAAAAAAAATCTTTTTAAAACAAGCACATCATCGTCATATCTAAAAAGCACACATCTTAAGTGTTACATTTCAATAGAAAACAACTACCTCTTGTGCGGCAGGTTATTTGTTTGGGAGTTATTTCTGACTGCTGCTGTAGGGAAAAGAAGAAACAGACTGAAAAATTCTATTACAGCCCCTTTTATCACCCTCACCCCACCCCTAAATCTTACAAGTTTCTGTGCTGAGTGCGCCACTAAAAATCAACATTTAACAAAGCCCATGTTTCTAAAAGCAGCCTTAATTATCCTCTCCGGTTGTTTACTGTGCACATTCCTTCATGGAATGCAATGGAAACATATTTCCTCTCTAGACTATTTCCCCCTTTACTGGTTAACTTCTATCAGCTTCCCAAATATTTATACTGTTACAGGGAAACGAGGACTCATTTAGCATTTCTATGGCCCCTCGTTCCCCTCTATCAAGTAGGAAAAAATAATACAGTCTTTCTTCTCAAAGCCAACACAAATTGCTGCAATGAATAATTTTAAAGAGCCTTGACATCCCTACCTGAAGTCACCAACTGCAGAGTATGTAATAGTTTAAGACCTGCCCCTGGCTTCATTCCCACTGCTGACTTTTATCGAGTCTTACTTTTGAGTTTAAGGCTTTACGAAGATTACACTCACAGTTCCTACACTTATTAAATGTGCACGACCTGCACTGAATATATGGAAAATGTTAATAGTTTACCTCCAGGGAATGCACATCAAACAAATGTGTGACCCGTGGCTGGCGGTCTCGCTCATCTTCCAGCGACGAGGTAATGACATGGAATAATTCGTGAGCGTCCTGTCAAAGGTTAAAGCATTCTTCAGAGAGGCCCGCTGAGGCAAGGGCAGTATCAGAACCACTCCCTGTGTAGGCCAGCAGCTAATGTGGGCAGAATGTGCCGTCTACATTCTCAAGGCCAGCTCATGAAATGGAAACAGTTCTGTCCTAGACTCTAGACACTGTCACACATAAAGACCCTCAACTGAGAGGCCCAAGGCGAGAGAGGAGAGAGAAAGCAGGGTGGCTGCCTTTCTGCCAGTGGTCCCTGAGCCTGCTGTAGCCATATTGAGATGGTCCATGACCTCCACTCCACCTGACTCCAAAGGACGACTTTTTTTTTTTTAAATTGTGGTAAAATGCACATAGCACAAACTTTACCATCTTAACCATTTTTACATGTCTAGTTCTGTGCCATAGGTACATTCACGCTGTTGGGCAACCATCGCCGCCATCCACCTTCAGAACTTTTATCATCTTCCCCAGCTGAAACCCCATCCCCATGAACTCCCCACTCCCCGCTACTCCCAGCAGCCACTGTTCTACTTTCTATCTCTGTGAATTTGACTACTCTAGGTACCCCAGATGAGTGGAGTCACACAGTATTTGTCCTTTTGTGACTGGCTTATTTCAGTTAGAATGATGTCCTGAAGTTTCATCCGTGTTGTAGCATATTGCAGAATTTCCTTCTGTTTTACGGGTGAATAATATGTCACTGTATAAAAATTTTGTTTACCTATTCATTCATCGATGGACACTTGGACTGCTTCTACCTTTTGGCTACTACAAATAATACTGCTATGTACATGAGAGTACAAATATCTGTTTGAGTCTCTGCTTTCCAATCTTTTGGGCTGTACCAGAAGTGGGGCTGCTGGATCCAAAGGCAGAGGACTACACTTTAAGGATCAGCTCAAACAGCTCTTTCCTGAAAGCCAAAGTCACCCCTCCCTCTTCCTGGAGGACAGGGTCCCTCTTCCCCTGGGCCCTCCACTTGCACTCTTGGTCTCCCCTCCACACAGTCACCAAAGTGGCTTTTTATTTTTTTTTTTTGAGACAGAGTCTCGCTTTGTTGCCCAGGCTAGAGTGAGTGCCGTGGCGTCAGCCTAGCTCACAGCAACCTCAAACTCCTGAGCTCAAGCAATCCTCCTGCCTCAGCCTCCCGAGTAGCTGGGACTACAGGCATGTGCCACCATGCCCGGCCAATTTTTTCCATATATATATATATATATATATATATATATATATATATATATATATATATTTTTAGTTGTCCAGATCATTTCTTACTATTTTTTAGTAGAGACGGGGTCTCGCTCTTGCTCAGGCTGGTCTCGAACTCCTGACCTTGAGCGATCCACCCACCTCGGACTCCCAGAGTGCTAGGATTACAGGCGTGAGCCACCGCGCCTGGCCCAAAGTGGCCTTTTAAAGGCAGATGACTTTGCTCTTCTGTTTTCAGCCTTCCAAAGGCTTTCACTGCCAGAGTAAACCCACCCTTCTTACCTGACCTACAAAGCCCCTGTCTGAGGGCCCAAGGTTCCCCCTAGAACCTTCTCCCTCATTTGCACTGCCCCGGCCCCTGGCCTCTTTTGCATTCCTCGAACACACCAAGCTTATTCCCATCTCAGGCCGTGCTCAGACCTCGGCCCGGCTGCCTCCTTCTCATTCCTCAGGTCTGTGCTGACAGCGCTCCTCCTCAGGGAGGTACTCCGTGATCGACTATCCAAACCCCTTGAGTCCAGCCTGCCCCCAGCCAATTCTGCAACAGTCCTGCAGGCCCCCACAAATCCCTGAGGTCTCTCCAGTTCCCCTGCCTCAACCTGTCACAGCTGTGCCATCTCAGGCCCGGACAACTGCAGCCGCCTCCCACTTTTCTTCTCAGTTCTTGCCTTACAGCCTTTCTTTTCAGACAAAAGTCAGATCAAACCAGGCTCCTGTTTAAAGCCCTCCAGTGCCTCCTGCTGCACACACAATAAAAGCCCGACTCCCGCCCCGGACCTCCCAGGCCCTGCACAATCTGCTCCCTGCCAAGCTCCGCCACTGCCCTCCCCGCCCTGGCCTCCCTGCCATTCTCCACATGCCACAGCCATACAACTGGCCCCAGGATCCTGCCCCGGCTTCTTCCTCCGTCTGGAACACTCTGCACCTGGGTGTTCGCTGCTTTCTATACTTCACGTCTCAGCTGAGACCTCGCCTCCCCAGAAGAGCCTCTCTATCCAGAGCAGTCTCCTCCCCCTGCCACTTTCCCCTCCTCCACAGCCCCCCCCCAGGCTTCCTTGTTACATCATCCTGTTTATTTTCTTGTTAGCACATCTTGACATTACCTGTTTACTGTCTCTCCCATGCCACTCCCCACCAGAATTCCAGCCCCAGGAGAGCAGGAAACCCTTCACATCCCGGTTCTGCTACAGCCCCACCACCCTCAACAGGCCCTGCCCCAGGCCCTGCCCCAGGCCCTGCCCCAGGCCCTGCCCCAGGCAGGCGTTCAGTAAATATTTGTTGCACACATAAGGGAACCCCCTCCAGGGCTGTGCACTGCAGTTAGCAAGAGAGTGCTGGAGATTTGAAGATAGGAGGGGCTCACAATGCAGGGGTAGGTGTGGCAGCCCAGCTGTTAGGCCACAATAGGAGCAGAGCTACAGCCCTGTGGCAGCAACGAGCCTCAGGCACCTGGAGGAGAAACAGCTCTTCCCTGGAGGCTCAGGGAGCCTTCACAGACAAGGCATCTGGGCCCACCCTGATCTCCAGACAGGACAGAGTCGGATCCATAACCTATCCCGTCAGGGGGCCACATAACTACATGGCTTCGAGGAAAGGGATAGTACCGCACAAGAGGGTGGGGCCCGAGAGTGTGCCCTTTAGCACCCGACGGGCTCAAATCCTGGCTCTGCGCCTTCAATAGCTGTGTGACTTTGGGCAAATTGCTTCACTTCCCTGAGCTTCAGTGGTTCTATCTATAAAATGGGTATAATAACAGCAACTCCTTATAGGGTTATTGTGAGGGTTAAATCAGATAATTCATGTAAAGCAAGCACTTAGCTTAATGCACCCCCAACAGCTCTAGCTTTAGGCACAGAAAATGGGTTACTAGTGCAAGTCTGGTACTGATTGACTAGATAATCACTAACAATGAAGATGTGGGCAAGGCCCCATGCTGGATGCTCCGGATGCCTTCAAAGGGGAAGAGATCAAGGGACACGCATGCTCATCTCTTCTTCCTGCATACTGTAGCACGATGTGGCCCAGTGACTGCTGTGGGCTGAAGACATTAGAAATACTTCCAAGGAATGACTTGGCCTTAGGTGCGTCGTTGATGGAGGGACGGGACTTGGAATAATTATCTAACATCCTTGGAGACTAAAACTCAGAGTCATTCTCTCAGTTTAGAGAAATATAAAATGTACCTAAATAATTCCAGTTACCAGAGGAGGATTTAAAAAGCATTTTCTAAATAGAAAAACATTTCATCGTACAACTGGATTAACCAAGATGCATTTTAAGAAAGTATAAGCTGGGCGTGGTGGCACATGCCTGCAGTCCCAGCTACTTTGGAGGCTAAAGCAGGAGGATCGCTTGAGCCCAGGAGTTGGAGGATGCAGTGAGCTATGAATGTGCCACTGCACTTCGGCCTGGGTGACAGAGTGACCCATCTCTTTAAAAAAAGAGACCATCTCTTTAAAAAAAGAAAAAGAAAAGAAAAAGAAAGTATAGATATCACCAACATCATGTTTAAAAAATAATACATGGCTTCAGATTAAAGCAGAAATGAGAAAAATCTTTAAAAATAACAGGAGCTAGAAAGGCTTTCTACCCCCCTTTTCAAAGTTTTTAAATGCCTCTCACTTCAGCCCCATAGTTTTGGGAGGTCCAAAAAGCCACTTCCCATTTCTCTGGACAGTGGCCGCAGAAGATGCTTACACAAAGCTGGACAAGCCATCTTGGCACATGGCTGGGGAGGACGTACCAGGACGCCACCGGAAGCTACATTTTTTCATCCCTAGACCTTCACTCTCTTGGCCTCGGCCTCAGACTTGCTATTGGTAATAGCAGTCTGGAGAGAAGGAGATGGCCAAGTTCCAAAGTGGGCAGCAAAGCTATCGTTGTGGAAAAGGGAGGTGGACGTGGCTGAATAAGGCCTTGGGTTGCATATGACAACTGCTGAGGTTTGGGGTCACTTTAAGCCAAACTTTGAAAACTGATTTTTTTTTTAAAAATGAGGGTATGGTCCAAAAAAGGGTCTCCCCTGAACCTCTGAGCCTCTAACGTGAAGCTACTTGCCTCATTCTAAAGAACCCAGGTGTCCCTGTCATCCACGGGAGTACAAAGTTACTCAAGAACTAAAAAGATTTTTGCTCTTTGGTGACTGGGTGTTTATGCCCCATCCTGCTAACCTTCTACTCACCAGGTGAAAAAGAGCTGTGTTTCCCCTCTGAACACGAGAGCAGGAACAAGGTAAGGTGGTGGGTGCTCTGGTCCCAGAATACTAAGGTTGTCTAAAATGTCACAGAAATGTACACTCAGGCCAGGCAGCTGCAAGGTCAGGCCCCAAGTCACCAAGGGGAGGGATTCTCCAAGCTAAACCTGTTTGAATGTCGTGCTCACCTGTTCTTCAAACGAAGAGATCTGCCATCTGTACATTCGTAAGACATCCAACAAGCAGCTTGCATCCAAGACCTCATCATCAGTAACTTCTTGGCAGGACAAAGCTGGAATCAAAAAAGATAAGACAATTATGAAATTCACAAGTATAACAACTAACCAGAAAACCTGCACAGTATAACACATCAAAGCTAATTAAAAATTTAAGGACTGCAACATTCACCTTGGAATTAGATCTTTTATCATTCTTCTTTGTAGCCTCACCCAATGCTTAGTATGCTATTAGGTACTTCACCTTTGTTGAGTGAACGTAATGTTTCATGAGGCTGCAGTATTTAAATGAAGTAACTGATTTCTGGATCTTCAAATTACCATCATCAATATAAATTTATTGCTGCAAAGTTCTTATTGAGTGAAATGATTTAACTCTCAACTCTTAGGGTTGGGAGGGCCCGTAAGCAAGTAGTCCAAGCCCACACTCTGTGCTAAGCTCCTCTCCGCAGGGCTCTTTCCCATGGCTATGAGGACTTTGCTTGTATTCGTTTGCATCTGAGTTTCTGATTATCATGGCAAAGCATCAAGCTATATGTGGCCGCCTGAAAGGGTCTGCTGAGTGGTTTACTTTTCTTTATAATTATTATTATTTTTTTAGAAACAAGGTCCCACTCTGTTGCCCAGGC